CCAATCTCCATACTGGCCCTCTCTGACTGAATTGGATTTAATATCCTTCATCCTCTTGCTACAGCCTCTATCTAGATGGTCAATGAGTCCATAATAATAGCATAGGTTAAGTAATTTCTCATACCTAAAGCTGACATTGACAATTTCATCATCCAATCTGAGTTTGGTACATTTGGGCAGTGGTTCATTGAGATTCAGGGAGACTAGAAGTCTAATAATCCTCCTTATTCTCTCGTTGAGAGCAAGATCTTCGATTCTCTCGATTGGGAGCTTTTCTTTTCCTCATCAAATCCAGTTTGTAATCTTGCCCTTTTTCATTGTGAAATCAGTGGATTTTCCATCTCTCTCTGATTCTATAGACCCTACACATGGCAGAAACCAATTGTGTTGGTCAAGACGAAGACCTAGCAGACCGATTACAGAGATTCTCTTTATCCGACAAAGAAAATGCAGTAATTGACATAGAACATACAGATATAAAGCTCAGTGATGATGAATGCCAGTGTAGTCTCTTTGGCAAGGTGGTTGGTGACAGGAAGGCACACTAGATAGGTGTGAAGAGAACGATGACTCATATCTGGAGACTTCAGCAACAAATGGAGGTAAAGGAAGTTGGCTACAACTTCTTTCAGTTTATATTCCAAAGTAAGGAGGATAAGAGGAAAGTAGCAAATGGTTCAAGCTGGAGCTTTGAAAATCAATATCTTATTTTAAAAGAATGGGAAAAGGGATTAACCAGTAAGCACCAAGCATTTCAAGAAATTAATATTTGGGTTCAAGTATTAAATTTGCCTCTCAATTGGCTTAGTAATGAAGTAGGACTCAGTGGGAAGAGTTTTCAAATCAGTCTAGAATGTGGTAATGGTCAGCTCTGGTAACCATGGAGGGAATTATATTTTTTTTAATCATAATAATAATTAAACACCCGTACATTAAATAAAAATGTCAACCCGTGTTGAATTTTTTTACTTATATCATATAAAAATATCGATATTATTACTATTACATAAGTAAAATATATATCTTAATTAAATAAATATAATATGGTAATATGTATATGCATAATTGTAGAATATATTTATTTAATATTAAACAAAATAGATTAATTTTTTTACTTAATTAGATGTCTAATACATCAAGTGTCGTATCAGTTGTGCTTCACAATTTTTTAACTTTATATTTAATTTTAGAATTTATATAAATAATTATTTATTTTTATTACATTGACAACATACCAATTAGATTTGAAATAAATATTATTTTTAAAAGAATATATACCAATTTCTATTACTTTATAATATAATAATAATTTTATTTTCTAATTAATTTTAATAAATTTATTAAAAAAATAAATATAATTTATTTATTTTATGTATACAATATGGATGTCAAATCGAAGCTCATCAAAAGAAGATTAATTTGATATATTATATATGTAAAACCGATAAGAAATACAAAAGTTATCAACTTTTAAAATATATTTGCAATTCATTGGTTATAATAGGAAAATGATATTAAAATATAATTAATATTAATATAAATATTAATTTATATCCAAGCCTAACTCCAAAGCATAATTTCGAAGCATGAGAGTTTGCCACGTAGACTCAACGCATTCTAAAATTATATATAGAGGGGATTTGTTCTACCAAAATGACTTGCCAATAATATAAAAACACAATGAATTTGTGTTGATATGTCGCAATAATTCTAAAATTCATCTTATATAATTTAATTCAAAAATAATTTTTAAAATGAAAGAAAAATATAATTGTGTTCTATTGAATAATAGAAATTTTCTTGAGAAGATATTCTTCAATAATTTCCTTTCATATTGTGATGGGTATAGTTTCCTGAGCCTATGTGACAAATTATGGTGTTTCGTAATCCTATGTCGAATTATGGTTCTTTGTAATTTTATTTGTCAATTTCTCATGTTTCGGAGTAGTGGTGCTTGTGTGGGTAATTTTATTTGTCAATTTCTCATATTTCGGAGTAGTAGTGCTTGTGTGAGGAATGCACCACCAGAAATTGGGCTTCAAGCTCTCACCTTAACAACGAGCCGATAGCCGATGGTTGTTGGTCACGACGACTACTACAAAGCTCCAATGAAGATTAATATTTCACATGGAGTAGTGCATCTTTATGTTGGGTGTTCCTCCGTCATGCGGGCTTATGTGCGACACATAGGGTATGTTTGTTTACAAATAAATTCACTCAAAATGAGTTTTTTTTTTTTTTTTTATTAACTATGGTTAATTTAGAAAAAAAAATTGGTATCGTTAGTTGTTAGTATGATTTGAGTTTATATTAAAATAATATTTAAAATAAAATATTTTAATTGATTTGATGTGAAAGTAGGAGCGGAATTAATTGAAGTGATAGTTAGTTAAAGTGAGTGAATGAATAGTAAATTAAAGTTGATGTAATGTGTACGAATGATTAGTTAATATTATTTAATTATATTGATAATATTGTTGATAGTGGAGTTGAATTAAAGTTGAGTTAGATTTTAAGTAAAAATTGAGTATGGATTGATTTTTTCTTGTATACAAATGTTGTAGTTATTTTTACTAGAGTTAAATCGAAAGATTCAATTCCCGGGTCGTATCCCAAGGAAGGTTAGTCGGATTATTTGCACAAATATTCACACACGTAAAGAGAAAACAAATTCCTAAACACTCTAGTCAAATTGGTCTTAATTTTTCAATTAACAACTATGAAAAGCAACAAAGCAAAGGCAAACTTCAAATTTCAAACCAAACTCAAATAATGAAGAGGAAGTTAGGGAGTGGGAGATATTCGTTTATGGTTCTAATGCAATTTATGTGCAAACAGTCACTCGGTTAAGAGATCAAACAAGCTACTCGTAAACTTCAAATTTCAAACCAAACTCAAATAATGAAGAGGAAGTTAGGGAGTGGGAGATATTCGTTTATGGTTCTAATGCAATTTATGTGCAAACAATCACTCGGTTAAGAGATCAAACAAGCTACTCGTCTAGAGGTTCGTTCTCAATAATTGTTCAATAGAACAAACATGAACGATCATTTTTTGAAACAATTAACACATAGGCAATATATTTACGAACAAGCCTATTCTAAATGAGGCAAAGTCGACCAACTTCTCTCCTTTCGGTTCTACAAGTTGATTAATTAGATTAGAATGATGATCAAGAATCTAACTCTAGATTCAACACAACTCGAATAGATTGAACGACAAACAAGCAAATGAATCTCAATCGAACCAAAACAATTATCTCATATCTCTAACAAAACGGTTTAGCCACACATATTAATATCTATAAAAACAAACGATTCAACACAAGAATTCACATCCATAATCAAATGAAGGAAACTTACGATTAATCCAAGTCGAGAAACAAATTCAAACTACAAGCCAAATCATATTCGTTTTGGAGTGTCACAATATCCAAATTCGAATCCAAGCCCAAACTAAGAGAAAACCAAGTTTGAAAGATGATAAAAACTCCAAAAACGCAGTCTCATAATGAGTTCAAATGCCGTAGGTTTGACCCATTATCTCACAAATTAAAAAATCCGCGAAAAACGCTAACAGTTACAAATCAGACCATAGCGGCGCTAAAGGGGGCTAGCAGAGCTAGAGTAGAAAAAGTCTTGGAGGCTCTGGCCTCGATAGACGCCCGCTAGCCTCCCTAGCGGCGCGAGGCCGCGTCCGGTAGCGACGCTAAAGTATGGGCATCTCAACAATTTGATGTCCCGAAGGGCTAATGACCTCCCGTTGAGTCGTGTGCTCTCGGCTAGCATCTCTCGAGCTCTGTCCGAGCTGGGAACTCGATTCCCGCGTGTTTGGGTCGCACAAACCGGCGTGGAACCCCTAGGAACCGGAACAGAATACTTCTTCCCTCATCTCAAACCTGAAACCACGACAACCAGAAAAACACGAAAGCATGAGAAAATAGGAAGAAAAACAAAGAAACCACCAAACACACCAAATAACAACAAAAACACGAGAGACGACTAGGAGGACCGGAAAAACTTAAGAAACAACCAAAAAATGGAGGAAAAGAAAAGCAAAACACCAACAAAAATAACAACAAAAATAGGACAAACAACAAACACACCCATAGGTTTTGTAGATTTGGATTTCTATTTATACCTATTACGACTTTTAATATTATAAAATACTTAATTAAGATAAATCATAAATATATCTAAAACTTATAAAATTTTATATTCTCATAAGATTTTTATATACAATATATCAAATTAATCATCTTTTGACGACCTTCAATACCATATCCATATTATATATATAAAATAAATAAATATTTTTATTTATCTTTATTGTAAAAATAAGTTTTTATTAATATTAATTACAAGTTAATAAAATCATTTAATAAAATCTCTACCCACGAATAAATATTTTTATTATAATATAGGAAGGGTAAACTATACAAGTGAAGTGAAGAGTATCATCCTAAATCAATAATAATGCACTTTTTTTCTAAAGTATTTAAAATTTAAATAAAAATATTCTATTTTTGTTTTTAAAATTTAAATATAAACTTATAACCAACTTACTTTGAATATCAACTATAAAAATTTAAAATATGAGCATATATAAGTAAAGAAATATCAACTAGTTGTAAAATTTTTTTTTTTGGTCACGAGAACAAAATAGGGTGAGTGTAGATAATCTTTCGGGAAATGCTATATTGCCAACTTAGTGCACAACTAGATTGACAACCCAAATAGAAATATTACTCATGTATTTTTTATTTTTTTCTTATAAATATTTTTACTTGTTTTGTCAACTTAAGTGTACACTAAGTTGACAATGTATCATTTTTCCTAATGCTTGAAATTAGGCGCTTTAGCTCAGCTCTTATCTCAACTCGAACAACCTGCGATTTTTTTCGTTACCACGCAGTTTAGGTATTGGGAATGGCAGCAACATCTTGTTTCCATGGCTCTCCGTCTCTCATTCCCTCGTTTAAAAGGTGTGATTTAATTATGATGGGAGAAAACAGTAAATGGCTGCCTTCTTCATATTCCTCTTCCTTCTCAAGAAGCAGAAGAAGATTCCTCATCAGATTGAAAGTAGTGTCGAGTTCGTCTCCCGCTGCTCTGCGTGGCATCAACTATAGCATTCCTCCGCCGGCGGCGGCGGCGACCGATTCCATATCGCAGCTCAACGAGAGAATCCGGCGCGAGCACAGCAAGAGAGAATCGCCTCCCATAGATTCCAAGGAGGCTGACACTTACATTAAGCTCGTCAAGGAGCAGCAGCAGAGGGGTCTCCAGAAGCTCATGACCCAGGCCAACACAGCTAATTCCTCCACAAACTATAAGGTGGATCCTTACACCCTCCGCCCTGGGGACTATGTCGTGCACAAGAAGGTTGGGGTTGGGAGATTTGTGGGTATCAAATTTGTTGATGCTTCTAAGCCTTCCTCCCACCCAGTCGAGTATGTCTTCATAGAGTATGCTGATGGAATGGCCAAGCTGCCCATTAAGCAGGCATCTCGTATGCTCTATCGCTTTCATCTGTATGTTTTTTTTTTCTTTTTTTTTTTTTTCAGTTTTCTTTTGATGCATAAGCTCACGCACGACTCCTCAACTTCTATTCGTGTGGTCATCAGACCAAATGAAACCAAGAAGCCTCGGGCGCTAAGCAAATTGCATGATACTAGTGCGTGGGAGAGAAGAAGGATCAAGGGTAAGGTCGCGATTCAGAAAATGGTTGTAGACCTGATGGAGCTCTACCTCCACAGACTCAAACAGAGACGGCCTCCTTATCCTAAAGTTCCCGCCATGGCTGCTTTTGCATCTCACTTCCCGTACGAACCAACTCCAGATCAGAAACAGGTATCTGCAATGGGTGGTAACTCTCTCCATTGTTTATTTTTCCTACATAGAGAAACTGTTGAGTTTAGACAGGTTCCTTCTCTTGTTTTGTCTCTGGCCAATTTCTCACAGAATAATTCTCACTTTAGGCGTTCATGGATGTGGAAAGGGATTTGACTGAGCGAGAGAACCCCATGGACAGGTTGATTTGTGGCGATGTTGGTTTTGGGAAAACTGAAGTTGCACTGCGTGCCATATTTTGTGTAGTCTATGCTGGAAAGCAAGCTATGGTTTTAGCCCCAACTATAGTACTGGCAAAACAACATTTTGATGTTATCTCGGAGCGATTCTCTGCGTATCCTAATATCAAAGTTGGACTTTTAAGTAGGTTCCAGGTATGACTGATCCATTTCCAATTTTTTTTTTTCTTTCTATGTTTCGTTTCTGACATTCAATCTACTAGGCCTGTATGTTGGTTGGTCTGGGCCTCCGATATCTACAGATAGCCTTAAATGGGATATTTACTGAACAACTTTGGCCATTGAGCTCCAACAGTACCAAGATATGGGATTGAGTGAGGTTTCCGCGCCCTGAGTTCATGAGTAATTAGGAAATACACTAACTAGCAAAGAAACAGCATGTTTTCTTATCTGTGTGAGTGTGGTCTCGCATGTGATCTTATGTTACAACAAATACAGGCATCACATCTAGTAATTATTGGATGAGCTTGAGTTTAAACATGGTCTAAAGAGAAGCTGGCTTATACACATTTCTGTGATCTTTTTGTCCCTTTCTGTTTTTGGCAAATTTTATATGTGCTGTTGTGAATTTGAAATGAACATTGAAACTCATTATAAAAGACATTGATAGTTTAAGTTTGGAGTCCATGACTTGAACTGGTTTGTACCATAGATTTCAATTACATAAAACATTTAGTTTCCGTATCTGCAGTGTATGAAAAAAAGAATTGATCATGACAGTGTCATGGTCATAATCAGATCGTTGCCCCTTATATTTTTTATAAACTGGGTTTTGTGATTAGAGATGAGGATTTAGGTGTGTTTGGGTTGAATATTGTGATTGACTCTACCATCACTATTAATTGTTTGAGTTAAGGTTGTTAATTGAGAGGTTTGGTTTGGACTTGTGGCACCTACTGATGGAGGTTGCCTCTCCGACATTTTACTTTTTGTGGTTATCATTTCACATATATTGATAGGATTGTCAATTCTACAATTTTTTGCCGGACTTTCTTATTGAGCTAGCAATTTCATTTCTGAGTTCTTGCATGGATCCCTACTGTCCTAGTTTTAAAACTTCATTTTGCAGTCTGTATTATTGTTGGTCTTCTTTAGTTCTTTCAAGTTCATTTTGCAGTCTGTATTATTGTTGGTCTTCTAACTTATGATATAAGATATTCTAACTTCTCTAGTGTGGAATCCATGTTGATTGAATCAGACCAAGTCCGAGAATGAGGCACATCTGCAGATGATAAAACAAGGTGATCTGGATATTATAGTTGGGACTCATTCATTACTGGGGAATCGTGTTGTTTATAGTAACATTGGGCTGCTTGTTGTTGATGAAGAACAGGTTAACTCTTTTTCCTTTCACTTTACACGAAATGAATTGAGTTGACCACTCACCTATCATGCACAAATGTATTGTGCAGATCCATTTATTTTTTAAAATTTTTGTTACATCAAATTGTAAACTAATATTCATAATTAGTGGTCCTTTGAAGATATATGATTTTGAATCTATATTGCCTTTATAAACTAAAAAATAAAAATTAATTGTTTATGCAAAATGATTTTCCGTTAGTAAATTATCTTTAATAGAAAGATATCAATTATCATTTTTTTTTTCTAATTTATAAACATGAATGTTTTGAATTTTCTTCTGTGGTCAATAATTCGCATACTGACTCAACAGTCAACCCGTTAGGTTATCTATTCAAGGTTTTTAATATTTGTATGCATCCATTTTTATTTTATTAACAAAAGCTCAAACCTATATGTTAAATTATACAAAAAATATTATTTTACTTTTATTTGTACTAAATATTGATATTTTATAAGATATAAAATAAAACAACGAAAGAAAGGGAAATAGGAAACAATTTAAAAAGAAAATTAATATAATTTTAGCATAAATTATGTCTTACGTATTCATAGTAAACTAATCGAAGCACACTTTAATTATAAACACACAGAAATAACCATTTCTAGAATCATGTGGCTGAAAAAGGTGATCAAAAGTTAAGTCAACATCAAATCAACAATCACAAGTAAATCTCTGATCTTTAAAACACTTGAAATATTGAGATTCATGTAGATACTTATGTATGTCTATGTAAGTTGAACATTAATAAATTATTAGATTATTTATATGTTAGTATCATATTTGAAAGCTTATAAGTATTTATTATATTTAATAAACTAAACATAATACAAGTTATATATCTAAGCTATCATATTCTCTTCAAACATAAATTAAAAACAAGATAAAAATTGGCCATACCTCTAAACCGATTGCATATGGGAATCAACATTAGCCCAAGTGTATTGAGTATGTTGTTTTTTCTTGGCAAGTCGTCCTGGGGTTGGATCCCATGGTGTGCATGTGTTGGAAATTCTTCTTTATGGTTAGTGCTAATAATGGACTAGATCAAAATGGCTCAATTAAATTCTAGTGTTTCTTCTATTAGTGAAGTTTCTAAAAAAAAAATATATCAAACGGTGCAATGCACCTTGGGTGGCTACGGAAACAACCTCCTTGTATAATTACAAGGGTAAGGTCTGCGTACAACTGACCTCCCAGACCCCATCCTGTTGGGAATATACTGGGTATGTTGTTGTTGTTGTTGTTGTTGTTATGGTTAGTTGAGCTATGCCGGAAAAGAAAGGATATATTAATATTAAATTGATATATTTGTTTCACTCAAGATAGTGTCATGTTTGTGATAAGAGGACGGATAATCATTTAAGGATATTTCAGGTGGATCGATTGGGTTGTATAACTCTTGTTGGCTAGGTTTCATCATTTTATTTCATTAATTGTTGGATTTGTTTTTATTTAGTTTTCTTGTTAGTGGACTATGGAGTTGTTTATTAGTGGGCCTTGTTGGAAAATAGGGTCCAACAGATACATAGAGCATGTTTGGAACTACCTAGCAAATGAACTTTTGAATACAAAGTCCATTTCAACTGGTGGATAATTAAGAATGGATGTTTGGATTCCAGAAAGTCAATTTTAAAGAAGTAAGAAATAGAGACTTTTTGAAAAGTCCATTTATAAAATGGACTTTTACAAAAATGCTCCCAAACAAGCACATAACAACTGTGCACAAACAAGAAGCCGTGTATGCTCGTCTTCATGCAGAACACAACCAGTAACCTATGACTTCTTTTATTTGTGTTTCCAAAATCAACATTTTGGGTCTACAGCAATATGTGAATGTTTTGTATCCATTTCTGTTTTTTCAGAGATTTGGTGTAAAACAGAAAGAGAAGATTGCTTCATTCAAAACTTCTGTGGATGTGCTCACACTTTCAGCAACACCTATTCCAAGAACACTTTATTTAGCGTTGACAGGGTTCCGTGATGCCAGGTAATCATCAAATGACTAAATCTGATTTTTTCATGTGCTCATCTACCTTAAAAGGATCAGGTAAGGTATTGGTATAGCCTCACACGCATTGTACCCGAATTTGGTTTGGTTAAAACCTTACAAACCTAAATGTAATCGTGTTGCATAGGCTAATTGATGATACAATGCAATAATGTCTAGATTTTATCTACTTGTTCATAATTCAATGTAAATAGTTGTGTCCAATACTCTGCATGTTGGGTCTGCTCAAATATTTGAATAAATGAGTCTCACCGCATACACTTCTCAATTTACATAATACTATATACATACATTCAGCATAACTCTAATATCTATATTATAGTAATATTATATACATTTAGCATAACTCAAATATCTATATTATAACATGTCATGTTGATTCACTTGTAAATATTATATTAAGGTTATATTTGCAAATTATTACTGGTTATGTTGTATTCAATATATTATTATATGTAAATTATCGTATATCAAAAAATGTAACATCAGTAATTGTGAAATATATAATAAAAACTCATTTACTACACCCAATATATAATAATAATAAAATACAATATTTGCAATAATATATATTTTATAATTTATGTATTACTTAAATATAATTGTTAAGCATGATAGGGACAATTTCACCTTCAATCCATACTATTCATACAAGATATTGCCTTACCTACCCTATTACTTGAACGCCAAAGTAATGATAGTATTAGATTTGTTCTCTGCATTTATGTGCTTATACTAGTTCTCCTTCCTTTAATATTCATTATATTTTCAAATTTTTGGTTATTTTTTATAAGATAGATTATTTTTTAAAAATTATCCATTTATTATTATGTCAAAACATAGATAACTTCATAATTTCCAATTACATAATTTATGTATACATTTTTTTAACTTACCTTTTCATTTTATAAGAATTTTTACACTGTATTATTTATTTCAATTTCAGTTAACTTAGTAGTTGGCTGATGCAATTGTGTTTATTCATTTTTTTATCAACAATTGTTCATCACATAAAATTTTTAAACCCATGTAAAACAAAGACACTGATAATAGCAATATTATTCTTTTTTTTGGGTTTTACACTGACAATAGCAATGTTAATTTTGATTTTGGTTTTTTCACTGTTTTTTAATATATAATATGTTCTCTTTTCATTCAAAATGTAAATCGTAATTTAACAAATATATTTTGCGGATGACAAAATAATATTTACGATTTATCAAAATTAATAACTGTTTCAGTATTGATAATAATATATAGTCTATTTAGTATATGCATACTAACATTTGTCATGCATTTATGTTTTATTTATTATACAATAAATTTTAGTGATATTTATTATGAATTTTGTCAAAATATTCAAAATTTTAATGAAGTGAATTTTCTGATCATCTAAGTATTGTTTTTTTCCAATGCTTATTAAATTAGTTTATAAGAATTCTTGGTCATTGACTTATTTGAGTTGTACATTAATTCTTTTCTTTTTACGGCTATTTGATATTTTTAACTTGAAATTGATATGAACATGCAAATTTTATAAGTATTATGAATATAATATTTTTATTTTATATATCAACACGGGTATCAAATTGGTGCATGTTAAGAAATATTTAATTGGATATTTATTAGTAAATAAAGACAAGAAATAAGAAACTTATTATATTTTTCAAATACAATAGAGCACAAGTTACATTGATTTATTGCGATGTTGTTTTTGGCCAGTTACTTGATAGGACTTATTAATTAGCTCCATCCCAAAAATGTGAATAAAGAAAACCTTATACATTCTATTTATGTCTCTCTTTAAAATTTAAATATACATCAATGAATTGCATAATTTCATTAGATTAAGGTATTGCTTGGTTTATTTTGCTGCAGTAGTAGAGTGATCTCGATTACGGCTTGCTTGGAATTCCATAAATATATTGATGACTAACATGCTATTGTGAATACATTTCTCTTTTCTTACCTGTAGTTTAATATCAACACCTCCTCCGGAGAGGGTTCCTATAAGAACCCATCTTACTGCTTTCACCAAAGAAAAAGTGATATCTGCAATCAAGCATGAGTTGGACCGAGGTGGCCAAGTTTTTTATGTTGTACCTCGTATAAAGGGTAATTTGGGATGAACATTACATTGTAATAGTCATATACTTTTTTACTTATAGAATCACTGCAAAATCAAGATCATCTGCTGTGCTGTCCACAGGGCTGGAAGAGGTTTTGGAATTTTTGGAACAATCATTTCCAAATGTTGATATTGCAATAGCCCACGGAAAGGTGTGTATTATTTATATTTTAATCCTTGTGAAAGTAAACTTATTTATACCTCCAAACACTTGATAATTGCATGTGAATTTTTCTTATGAAAGGACTAAGGAGTATTATCTAGCTTTCTGAAAAAGAGAGGTTGTTCTTTCTAATATTGCTGGTTATTTAAGCAGTTAGCATCATCATCCTTGTTGGCAAAAATTGTTATTCCTTGTAATTGTTATGCCAATCTTTTTATCTGTAACTGGGAAAAGTGATGCTTGGTGGAATTTCTCGTTTCCCAGAAATTGGGTAAAAACTTTGTTGTACTTGCCATCCAAATTGATTCAGTTAGTCAACTGTTGTAGGATATTGTTGGGTGTCTCTTTCTCCTTTTGGTCAGTCTGTCAACAACATACCGGTATGGTTTTAGGAACTAGCTCTTCATAGTAGTCTTATTAATCTGGTTTGGAATCAATTCTCTTGAAATTTATACATCCAAATATTAAATTATAAATAATTTAATGAGGTTCTTCCTGACAAAGTTTCAGATTTTCTACAATGAAGCAGCATTTTGCATAGTGTTATATTTGTGTTCATAAATATTGTGTCAAAATTCCTTATCTGTGCTGCCTCTTCTGTTATGCAGCAATACTCGAGACAACTTGAGGAAACCATGGGAAATTTTGCACAAGGGCATATTAAGATTCTAGTATGCACAAATATTGTTGAAAGTGGGCTTGACATTCAAAACGCAAACACCATAGTAATTCAAGATATTCAACTATTTGGTCTTGCACAGTTGTATCAGGTTTTGCTTGTTCCAATTCTTTTATATATTTTCTTGTGATATCCGGTTTTCCAATTTGATAAACTTGTCTTTCGTATAAATCTCTAATCAAAACACGTGATGATCCTCTAGGTTATAATCTTCATCTGCTAGCCATGATGTTCGAAATTGCTTTTCTTCCCATTATTTATCCTAATGAAACTTTAAAAGAAAACTGCATTACAGTCTTGTTTGCTTTTTGGTGTTAAAATTTGATTTGAAACTTTGAGCCACACCTCTATAGTTGACATTAGTTAGGGGGCGCTTGTTTATGGAATAATTTGTTCAAAATGAGTTACTTTGGTTAACCATAGTTAATTTTTAAAAAGGTTGTATGGTTAGTTGTTAGTGGAATTTTAAGAATATATTAAAATAATATTTAAAATAAAATGATTAAAATTGATTTGATGTAAAAGTAGGAGATAAATGATTGAAAATGATTGGAAATGATAGGTAGTTAAAATTATGTGAGTGGATGAATAGTGAATTAAAGTTGATGTGATGTGTAAGAATGATTGGTTTGTATAATTTAATTATATGAATAATATTAAAGATAGTGCGGTTGGGTTAACATTTAGTTAGATTTTGAGTATGAATTGAATGAGAATGAAATAATTTGTAAACAAGCATGCCCTTAGGGATCATGATGGGCCATGTAGGGCCGGGTACCTAGAGACGTAGACCCGCCACCGCCCTAGCTAGGCAAAATTTTCATCCCATGCCCTTCATTAGAGAATCTCCAATGCTTGACAACTTGATTTTATTTAGGAGAACTTGTTTATAAATTAATTTGCTCAAAATGAGTTTTTTTTTTATTAACTAAGGTTAATTTTAAAAAAGATGATATGATTAGTTGTTAGTGGGATTTTGAATTTATATTAAAATGATATTTAAAATATAATAATTAAAGTTGATTTGATGTAAAAGTAAGGGAGATGATGTGAAGTCATAGTTGAATATATGTGAGTGGATGAATAGTGAATTGAAGTTGATGTGTATGAATAAATTAAAGATAGTGGGGTTGAGTTAAACTTGAGTTAGATTTTGAGTATAGAATAAATGTGAGTGAAATATTTTGTAAACAAGCACCCCCTTTGTGTCTCATGTGGTCCTAGACTTTTGCGTACAAAATCATCTCCAGTGTAAACAAAATGAAACTAAGTCTAGTTAATTTGACCCATGAAAAAATAGATTAAATCTCTTTTCGGATCCATTGTTGAGATATGGCAATAAACTCGATGAGTAAGCATGAAAGTAATTATTTTAATGAATTTTTACATATATTTGTGGTTATGCTTCATTTTAGATCAAACTTTTTAAAATATTGCATTGGAGTAAATATGATATATTTTTACTTATGCTTGTGGACACCATTAAAGACCTTAGTCTATTACTTTAACAACTATGAAAGAAAAAAATGAACCTTAAGCAACTTAATAAATGCAAGAGAAGAAAATATTAGGACAGAGAATACTGGCGAAAATAATGCTCCTAGATTTTCTGCGCCTGAAGACAACCTTGTTTCCAAAAGCTATGAGGTTTATTTCTCAATGGGTCCTAAAACGTATACATCATTTGATTAAAAACTTTAGATCTTTCACGTTCAACTACCGAGGGAGAGGGAAGCCTGTAGATGTGGCGTTGTAAAGGAGGGGGAAGGAGAAACGACTTTTGGAAAGCAGCACCGCCAGGGAGTGCCAATTTGTGCATCTTAGCCGAACGCCTGCTGCCATTGTCGGTTGCGGAGCACCGCCGGAATTATGTTGCCTAAGACGGCACGACGTAATTTAGGCTTTTGTTGGAGAAAGTAGGAGTAACTGAGAAATATTAGTGAAAGACCATAACCTAATTAATTAAATTGCATCTCGGTGCTCGGGGTGACACTGAGGTGTCGTCCCACGTGAGGCAAGCGCCTTGATGGTGTCTTTAACACGTGCGCCTCACTACAGCTTTTCGAGGCAACTAGGTCTTGCCTTGCCATCACTCACGCCATGGCTTTTCCTTCTTAATCAATGTTCCCATTTCTACGGCAGTTTGTGCATTCGAAGTAGCCTGGCTAAAAGTTATTTTTTTGAAGCCTTCTATTGGGTGATTATATGATTGAAAATGTTGATAATGAATGACCTACATGAAAATAATTTTATTGATATTTCTGTGGTAATTCTAATATATATGATCAAATGGTTCTTTGTAAAAATTTTATAGTCGTCCTTGATGAATGATGATACTACGCTATGATTTGAGTTGAGGAAATAATTATTTTTTTTCATAGAATTTGGTTGTGTTTCACAGGTTGTTTCATAAATCATGTGTAACACATAGGTGTTAGACTTATATATATGTGCGTGTTTTTGTGTGTGTGTTTTATATATGAAAGATGAAATAAAACAACTAAATAATATGTAACTGGACATTCAGGATATTAAAGTGCCAAGCATGATTATGTTGAACTTAACAATACAAATATGTAGTAGCCATCTGTTGCGTGAATAGTTATTTTTGTCTCTTTGTGTCGGATATCTCTGAACAATTACATACTTGGATGTCTAGTTGCGTGGAAGAGTGGGCCGAGCAGATAAGGAGGCTCACGCGTACTTATTTTACCCGGATAAGTCACTGCTTTCTGATCTGGCACTTGTACGTTCTTCAATTTTTCTACCATCTGCTTGAACAATATACTGACGGCAGTTATAAGAGTCATTTATGCTGCTCATGTCTTTGCTAATACATTTTCTTTCCCTTATTTGCCTTTGTTATTTCTTTAGTATTGTTAATTATTTCTTATTTCTTATAACAAAATAAAACAATAATAAGAAAAGTATTCCACTTCCTTAGTTCGTCTAAAATAACATTTTCATTTTACCCTTCAGGAGCGGCTTGCTGCTCTAGAAGAATGTCGAGATCTTGGACAAGGTTTTCAACTTGCAGAAAGAGACATGGGCATTAGAGGCTTTGGGAATATCTTTGGAGAGCAGCAAACAGGGGATGTTGGAAATGTTGGGATTGATCTTTTCTTTGAAATGCTTTTTGAGAGTCTGTCCATGGTATGCAGGTTCTCAAATTATTTTTCATAATAGTTGCTTATATATATATAGACATCATGCTAAAATCATGTTCTTCTGATCTTCTGATGATTTACTTGTTAGAGAAATTTGTAACAATATCCTTAAACTCCCTACACATGTATCCTTCTTTTCAGAGTTGAATTTTGTTTTTTGAACTTCCAGGTAGATGAACACCGTTTAGTCTCCGTCCCTTACCATTCAGTGCAGGTATTGCTTACTTTTAACATGACGTCACAGAAAAAGATATTTTCATGTCAAAGCCTTTTATGCTATGCTGCAACGTTTGAGTCCATGATCATTTTAGTTGTATCTCCTATGTGGTTTCTTGAGTTTCTGAATTATTTTTTTTAGCACTACTATTTTGTATTAGTGTCTTGGGACTGAAACTGGTGCTTTTAGGAGTGTTCAGGATGTGTGTAGTGCAGATGTAAATCTAACTATTCTAGAAGTATTGCTACGTCAGAGAATTGAGATAGAAGCTTTCTCCAGAAGTTTTATCTGAAAACTCTGATTTCCGCAATCTAACCAACAATTCTCAAAAGATTCATTGCTACGAATATCTTTAAAAAGAGAACATGATCTACTGTGCTTGTGGTAGTTTATTATAATAACACAGGTTTTCATATTTATTCTGGCATGATGTTTATGCAATCGTTTGAGGATCAACAATAAAATGAAGATTGTTTTTTTATTGTCATTGTCCGCACAAAAAATATGACAAATTATTCAAAGAAAACTCAATTTACAGCTGAGGAAGGAGTTTGTTAAACTTAAAGATTAAAGTTTTGACTTCTTCACCATCAAAAAGATATTATATTGTCATGGCAGTTTAATGTTGTTCGGTGGACCATACCAAGTGATAATTACTTTCAAAATAAAAGAATTGAAAACTTGAAATGTGTAACTAAACCCAGAAAACAAAGATAATGATTCATTCATTCATTTTGTTTGATCTGACATTAAAATCTAGGAGCTTTGGCAAAAACTGTTCCTCGCTTTTTTTTTTTTATTTTTTTTTTATTTTTTTGGATATATCCATCTTTTCACTTTCACTTCAAATATGCATTGAATTTATTAGATCAACAAATTTTTGATGACTTCAAAATTTTGAATTAGGCATATCAACACAATTCATGATCATACTATTCCTATTCATGTGCAGTTTGATCTCGATTTGAACTACCATCTCCCTTCTGAATACATAAATCATCTGGAGAATCCCTTGGAAATAATTAATGAAGCTGAGAATGCTGCTCAAAGAGACATCTGGAATCTAGTTCTCTTTACTGAGGATCTGCGCCGCCATTATGGAAAAGAGCCTTACTCCATGGAAATTCTGTTGAAGAAGCTATATATAAGAAGAATGGCGGCAGATTTAGGAATTACTGAAATATACATTTCAGGTAAGATGGTGGGCATGAAAACAAGCATGAGTGAAAAGGTTTTCAAGATGATGAAGGATTCAATGCCATCTGAAACACACCGAAGCTCCATTGTCTTCGAGGATGGTTCAATCAAGGTATGTTCATACTTTTTGTTTTCAACCATCGAGTTGTACATCATTTTATGTACGTACTGAGAGTACACTCACATGGAGTGGTGAGTTGCTTAATAAAATATTTGAGGGGGCCCTCCTCATGTGAGTGTACAAACACCATGATGTAAATAAAATAATGTGAACATAGTAAAATCCTTAGTTATTTGTTATTAAAGGATAAGTAGAAGAGTTGAATCTCCCAGGTCTTTTTGTTGTTTATTCAAGTACTTAATATTGTTGGAATTGTTGCAACTTCTAGGTTTTTAGCACAAGGTTAAATGTGAGGTTACATATATTTGCTTTTGGGCAAGTTAGTTCAGGATCACACTCTCTCTAGTCATGTCTTCTTGATTTTTGTCATCTTTTGAGTTCATGAGCTGAATATGTGCCAATAGTTATATACAAGTGTATCTTCTTTTAAGCTCATACATTTACTAGTTCTCATAGATTTGCATGTACTTGATATGTTGAAATCTTTAAGGTATTGCAAATGCCTCATACATTTTACTAGCTCTCATAAATAAGGGTATGTACTATCTCATATTCAATTCTGTCACTCCTTGTGATTTAGGCTGAGCTACTTCTGGAATTACCAAGAGAACAGTTGCTGGAGTGGATTTTTCGTTGCTTAGCCGAACTCTATGCATCACTACCCGCGTTGATAAAATACTAATTTGAAGTGGAATGTAGTAGTTTCCCACACCGGAAAACCCTATTCTGCACCCTGCAAACTTCGTTTAGGGGTCTCAGCTCTGAACTTGCAGGCATCTACGGATGAGAATCCATTGTAGATATGGCAAACCCTCACACACATATATAACAATATATTGATAATAACATAAAGCACTACTGTGGATTGTGAACTTCCGTTTTGAGGTATGGCATCGTTTAACCAAATATACCTTTCTTAGGTTTCTGGTTTTTTTTTTTTTTTTGGNTTTTTTTTTTTTTTTTTGGTCCTTCTCTTCAGAGTTGAGTAAACAAAATGTCTGATTTTCTTTTTTGTTGTACAGAATCTCGTGGGGTATGTAATCCTGTTGCCATGAAGCATAAACGATCATTTTAGGAAGGGGCTCGACTGTGGTTGTGCTCGTTTCAAACTTTTAAGTGCATATGAATGTCCAAACAGGTAAAAATCTTAAGGCAGTAACTTGGCCACTGGCAAAAAGGTCATCCAAAAGGCACGACTTTGGCATTTGCGTAGACTTGACTGGCAAACGAGTACTGTGAAATCTCCAAGGCATGAAAATAATTTGTTATGTTTTTGAGGTCAATCTACCGTCATTTTGAGTTGGCCGTGGTGGATATTTTGCTCATGTTTTTCTCAAAAGCTTATTATAAGTTAAAATCTAGTTGTGTTATAATGAAATCGCATTTCATTATTTATATCTGTTTTATGAGATCATATGAACTAAAACAACCAAAAAATAATAATGGTAAAAAAGTAAAAAAATATAAATAATGGTAGAAGAGCCCAAAAAAAACTTTCTTTCATCCATGACATCGCTATTTTATGTATAGTAACAATTTTTGATAATAAAGCTTGAGTTTTGTGATAAAAAATGAAACGACCAAAAATTGTGAATAATGGTACACGTGAAAATGCGAAAATTAAAATTCATAAATAATGGTAAAATAGCCTTAAAAAATTTTCTTTCACCACGTTAAACCATAATTTTTAAAGTATATAACAAATTTAGTCCACAATTTTATGTATATAAGAAACTTTGATGGTATACAATTTAGTTTTAAGATGATAAATAAAGCGTCCAAAAAGAGTGAATTAGTACATGCGAATGAATTAGGGCATGTATAGTGGTAAGAGGAAGTTTGTCTTAAAGTATAAAATTGGCATGTATAGTGGTAAAAGGAGTTTTTTGGGCACAATGAATTATGACAATGTTGACAATTCTAGCGAGTCATTAAATTCAGAGGGAAATAGATACTAATATGAAGTCAATTTAAAGTAGGATGAACTCAGTTTGAACCAGACGCAGAACCGACCTCGCCCATCCATGACGACCAACCGAAGCGATCAACCGAGCTCAAAGTTGGTGACGAGGCGCCTACGCGACCAATTGAACAAATTGCCCTCCACACATGTCGTCATCATAACTTGTGGGCCCAACTACAGTACAAACCGCCCCCATAAAGTCACTTTGCATTAAATGCGGCCGTACCAACCTTGAACATAAAGCCAACAAAGTTACTATAAATAAGAGAATTAATTCCTGTACGAGGATTCAGTTTTCGGACAAAAAGAAAATACATGTAAAATCTACTCGGTTCATACAAAAATCGACTTCCTGTAACAGTTCAATCTTACGATAATCCCAAAGCTAAACACTTTATACCATTTTACATCATTAATTACAAGTTATTATCGTTGTTAATTATCGCATAACAATAGTTTGGCGATAGAAGAAAGACTCCATAAGTTGTTTGGAACTAATCTTCGATTCCATACACAAGAGTCACATAAGTTCTCAGTATTTGTGTTCGTGTTCATCATCCGGACGAAAATCATGTCCCAATTAGGATAACAAGATCAAACGTCAAGGGCTGGTCACAACCGGGGTGTCGCCTCGTCCGTCGGAAGAACCAACGTGATACCGGCGATACTGGACTTCGCTGCTCTGTTTCAAAATCCAAAGTTTGTAAAGGGTTTTTGTAACGCCCCATTCGAATTATATGTTTCTGTATCTATTATATTATTTTTGTCTTTAATTGTTATTACTTGCTTTTATTTATGTAATTTGTTTGCCTTAAATTATTATTACTTGTTGTATTTATTTATCTGCTTACCTTTATCTAATTGGTAGCCTGTCTTTAATTAGTTTTGTGCCGTCATTATTTGTATATGATTGTATTTATTTTATTATTTATTTATTCGTTAAACTAAAATCGTTCATTTTCGATCTCAAGTTCAGATGTATCTCGACCCACTTTATTTACCTAATGTTTGTTCCTTTTTGAACTTGATTACTTTTTGGCCCTTTCTAGTTATTATATTTTTTGGAAATTTTCATCTATCCTACAAGATTTAAATTTATTTGCGATTTTGCAGCTACTATAAGTTTAATTGCATATGTACCTAAAACTATTAAATTAATTGGAGATTTACTTGATTTCAGTTACCATATAAAAAAACGTTGACTCATATGAGAGAAAAATGAAAATAAATAACTTACTCATTTAATTCCTTAATTCACGCAACTGGAATTCTTTAATTCATGCAGCTGTCAGGTGTTATAAATTGAGTTTATGTTAATATATATTCAGTATATGTGCGCAACTAGAATTCTTTAATTCACGCAGCTGTTAGGTGGTATATATTGGGTTTATGTTAGTATATATTCAGTATATGTGCGCAATTAGAATTCTTTAATTCACGCATCAGGTGGTATATATTGGGTTTATGTTAGTATATATTCAGTATATGTGCGCAACTGGAATTCCTTAATTCACGTAGTTGTCAGGTGGTATATATTGCGTTTATGTTGGTATATATTCAGTATATGTTGCAATGAAAAATATATCTTCCATCAAAAAATTATATCTTCCTTTTTTTTATTTTCTTTTTTTTCTTTTATACATAAATGTATATATATAGTTTAAAAACATATTATAACAAATTACTTAATATAAAACCATACATATATACAACAACAACAACAACAAAAAAATTAAGTTTATGCTAAATATAAATTGAGTTTAGGGTTTAGGGTTCAGGGTTCAGGGTTCAGGGTTCAGGGTTCAGG